AACTGTATAATGCGGATATTCACTACTTTGTTTAAGTGAATCTTAAGTGATTGAACTATCCTTTATAGTATTTATTGACAAAGCTCAGTGAATTTTATAATGTGAATATGGTTGGCACTAAATCAGAGTATTTATCCAATTTGGTAATTATCTACATACTGAATACTGATCAGATTTAAATTCAGCTGTAGTACATAATCCCTAAGCTTATTTTTCTAATTGAAACCTTAATTCAACGTCAGAAATTAAAGTTTAGTAACCAGCAGTCTGAGCATCATAAGAATGGGAAAGTTGTGATTAGTAACAGTTGCAGCCTCAAAAATATTGTGTTTGATTCTTTAACTGAGCATACTATCAATTACAATTTCTTACGAGTAAAAATAACTGACTTATTCACTTGTTAAATATAAATCTATCATACCGTTAGTTTGTGACTAATTTAGGATTAATTTCATGAGCTTATCTAAGCTGGACGACCGCTGAAAATCTGGAAGCACTGGATGGTCGTAACGTCTTAGCATGGGATTTCTCAGCAATGGGCAACCACGAACCCACGCGCGTGACTCGAACGCAGGACCTTTGGTCTAGCGCACGAACGCTTAATCTCTAGACCACTGGCCCAGCATCCAATAGGGTTGATGTCTAACTTCAATCGATACATGAAATTGCACAACCCTTCATCCATTTGGTCTGTGTTAGTCCTGAAAATGGTGGTCTCTCAGTTAATCCAAATTTCTTTTAGAAGCGTCGACAGATAGAGTTTCAACTATGTGTTGAGGTAATGAATTCCGTTCGGTAACGATTCGATGGGAAAGTCGAATATCAGTTGACAAGTAATTTGTTCTGAGCTTGTGAACATTTTAAAGTGTCCTCATAAATTCTCTGTTTTGGAAGACGAGAAAAACGAGAGCATATCAGACGCAAATTTATCACTAAGTAATCTAAAAACTATGATTATGTCGCCTCTGGTTCTTTGATATGGCAATTAGAATAGGTTTAGTTTCGTCAGTCGAGCATCACATTGGAGATATTCGACTCCTGGAATCAGCTTAGTTGCGGTTCGTTGAGTCTTTTGCATCAGCTCGCTGTCTCACTTTAGGTAGTGGCTAGCCGCTTATATGTGTTACCCAAGTTTAGCACGAATGATTACTGTATACAAAATCAAAAACCTTTTAGCATGACATGGCTAAGGGATCTGTGTACTGACTATAGGGTTCTAAAACCTTTGGCCACCATCACACGGCGGTGTGCAGTAGTTTTGAAGTCTTGGCTAACCATGACTGAGGTCGCTGCGTGTTTGGACAACAGGTAGCTCGATGTCATTTGCCGTGTATGTATCAGTACCTTGGTAACTAATATGTATCACAATGCACTTGGGAACATTTATCAGCAACTGCAAAATTTTATACACGTCAGAAAATCTCTCTAGGTCATTTTGAAGTTCTAAACTACCACCCATACTCAGTATCGATCTCCGTATCTTGACATCGTCAACATATAGCAAGACTGATGATGATAGGAGACGAGGAAGGTTATTCACATACATGAGGAACAACATTGGCCCGAAAACTGTACCCTGAGGCAGTCCGCTAAGCGCAGTTTCCCAACTACACAATTTTGAGTTCACCCCTATGCTTTGTTGGAGCCCAACTAGAAAGTCTTGTATTCACATTATTAACTTGCTTTCAACCACGACATTACTTAACTTAAATAGCAGCCAGTTATGGGGAATTTTGTCAAGAGCTTTCCCGAAGTCAATGTAGGCTGCGTCTACAAGTAACTTTTGATCTTTAGGAGCGCACCAACTTTCACGAGGCACTAATAGGCTAGTAAGACAGGAGTGACCCATTCTAAAGCCATTCTGCTTTTCAGAAATCATCCAGTTCTCGTCAGGATACTTCAAGAATGCCTTCCGAATAATCTTTTATAAAATTTTAAAAATCATACTAGTTAGACTTACGGTCGATAGTTCTCAGCTTTATGTTTAGTACCTATTTTGAAGACAGGACTTATTACGGCGTTCTTCTAGTCGTTTGGTAATCGACCCTGGGATACAGATAGTTCGAAACATATGCTTAAGGGGTTCTCAACGAAATCTTTTAGTTCCTTTAGTAACCCAGGATGCATTTCATCAGGTCCCGTGGATTCGCCTATATCAAGCTTATTTAGCAGACCAAAGTCATCGAGTTCATTTGTGGTTACAGTATATATGTGTGTGGGGTGCTTGTATAAAATGAAGAGAGGGGTGTTTCTACGGCATATGCATTGCTATAATAGTTTGAGAGTACCTGAGCTTCATTATAGTCGTCTCCCACTAGTGATGCAGTACTACTGCCTCCCCATAAAGCTGGGATGTCACCTCTCTTAGTCCTTTGATTTATATATCACTATAGGAGTTTGTGATATTCTGTTGACTCAATAACTAACTTTTTTTCATGCAACCTTCTAGACTTGCGGAGGTTCGAGGTACAAATATTTTGAGCTCCCCGATATTGAAACTTTTTCTCGACAGCACTCAGCGACCTAAATATCTCGTACATTGTTCTCTTACGCCGAGTGCTGAGAACCTCTTTATTGAACTATAGTGGGGAGTTTCTCGGACCCCTTGGTGTAGTCCATGGATGTGAGGTGCAGTGACTTTTAAGTACAGATTTCCAAATACATTTCAAGCCGCTCCGACGGGAAAGTTTAGCTCTATTGGCCGATCTAATGAGGAGGCTGAGCGTATAATTTCTTGTATACTTGCTATCCAGACGTTTGGACTAACACGTCTTTGTTGCAAACAAAGATGCGATAAATAACTTTAAGTGACCTATTTCTGTCTACTACATGACCGCTATCGATCAAATGTGATAGAACCGAGCTGCGTATTGTCTTGACAGTATCACTAACTCTTTGCCTCAGTTGTCTCGTAGCGCGCTCAACACAGCTTTCTCCACAGGAGCAGCTGCAGTCGTAGATGCACATAGATGTGGCATGTACAAGTAACTTATCCTTCAGTTGAGAAATCACCATAGGTAGGATCAAGTATGATAAACAGAGGTTGGCTTCATTAAACGTTCTCTTTACTGCTCTAGTCAGTCTATCCCTTACCATATCATCAGTTACATCTCCATTGAATTGCAACTTCAGGAAGAGGGGTTTCTTACTAGCTATTGATGTTTCTATTTTCTTGTCTGTTACGTGCAAATGCTTCCTCCGGAAACGTTGTTGATAACCCATCTCAATCAACATATTATGTATGAGCTCTGGTTCCTTGTTTGTTGTATCGATTCAGTATATCTTCCTAGCTCTATTTGCAAGAGATTTGAATAAGTTTCTCTTATAATGAAGGGGTAAAAAGCTCAAGAAATATGTGTACTGGCTTGCTGAAGAACTTGTCCTACACACACTTCTACTGATAAAACCATCATACTGCCAATTAGTACTTTTCACTTATTATGTCTATTTATGTAATCTACTCAATTGTTATCATTGACTTATAAACTGCCTTGATTGGTTTGATAATTTCGTATGTGCATATAAATATAACTGTATGTTAAAGTAAAGCCTGATGAGGATCGAATCGGAAACAATATTGTTCGCTTAAATATGTTGTTCTAAATCACAATATGGACATTTTTCAAATGATTTATCATACCACGTTTGGACTAGTTGTCCTAACCCAATGTTCTGGCTACCTATTTTCCAACTCTGCGAATTTACTAATTAAGTTTCCTGTTGTAAACGTTTTTGAATTCCATGGTCGATGGTAACTGTATGAACCCACGTGTCACTAAAAACGGTTTACAAATAAGTGACGATCTGGATACTAGAAAACTCGTAACACTGAAGTTGTCAGTATATTTTTCGCCTTATCTATCTGTTGTATTTTGCTTTCGGGGTCCAGTTTTGGCCCACGATGTTTACGGTTCTAGAGACAAAACAATTAAGCTATTATAATACGGTCGGTTCTTTTTAAAATTGAAAATGGCAGTTTAAACACATTACATCAAAACCCCGATAGATAACACAGGAAGAAGTCGGATTGCAGGGAACTTGATATTCGAGGTAGGAGAAATAATGCGAAACTATTTGACACAACTGTTGTTATTATAGTATCAAAATATGACCTTCAAGCCTACAGAAATCTAAGTCACTAAAAGTTGACATATAATCAAAGAATAAAGGTCATGTGGGAAATTAAATCAGAAGAGAATACGCGGGAAGTTATCGTTCCTGAAGAGATTTTAGCAATTCTGATTAAATTCGATTATTCTTGTGATCACCTTAGCATTATCCTTAAAAAATATGAGAGGTAAATATGTTGAAATTCAAACATCTCATACATAATCGTTGGAGAAGGTAGTTGTTAACATATGATGCGATCTCACCAAAACTAGTAGAAACCTTAGATAATTTAAGTTGGGTGACAGATGATGACTGCAAAAAATATTTATAACATACTTTTCTGAGTTGTTACAATTAGAACGCACTGTAAACAGAAATTTGTTTCGTGAGATTATATTTTTCAGAAGATCTTCAAGTGATGCTATGGTGACCTTGGTAATATTCACCTATTTACTAGGGTTAAAGGAGGTTTATGTATTGATGTGAGGAATTAGCATTAAAACAGAGTTAACATTGAAGTTTAGGATTCGGACTTAGAGTTTTCATCGCGAAATGGTATCATCTATAATGCTAAAATCTCATATATCTATATAAATGAATATAAATTTCATTATGTCATCTTTTTTAAACCGTTTTGATAAAATGATTGATTTTAATCATTTCACTAGTCTAATGAGATAGAGATAACGGTTATTAAAAGTGTAGATATAGTTAAGCTTTTCATAGTATTTAATTGATGTAAAAAATAGCCTAATTTACTATTTGTATAAAATGTATTTAAGGTAAAAGAAAATAACCGAGTTTTAATATGTAATGAGCGATTGATCATTTCTTTCAAAAGACTTAATCTTATAAATGGATGACAGTCGAATTACTTGGTTATTACTCAGCAGCATGACAAGCAAAAATTATTAAGTTAAACTGATAGCAAATGTTTTATGAACAAATAAATTTACACATTTTTTTCGTGAAGACATAAAGGAGTTTAAAGTCAGTGATCTTAACCAGAGATACATTAATTAATGAAGTAAATATAAAGTTAACATTTATCAAATCAAATGACAAGGGCTCTTTTTAAAGAAGTCATAATAGAACTAGCAAAATATGGAGTTAATACTTAAATGATTTCACTCCCATGATTGTACGTACAAAACAAAGTGAAAAAAGGATTAGAATTTAAACAGTTAAACAGTGTTATATGAATTTAAGTGAAATATAACATTTACAAAAGTAAACTCTAAAGAAGAAAAAAAAACAGAGTGGTTTCCACTAGAAGAAACAAAATCATCGATTAATCGAAGCATAATTCAAATGAAGAAGACATAGAAATTATTATGAAGACGATGATATTAACTCAGTAGACTTTAGTTGTGTTCGATACAATTTTACAAGTTCTTGTTTAGTGATAAATGTATAACGAAATGACTGTGATTAAGAAAAAAATTAAATAAATCTTAGTAAAAGGTTAAGTAATAATTAAATTATAAAAATGTAGTAATGTATATTATTAAAAAAGGATCAAGTAGTTTCCTATAAAAAATTGAGTCAAATAAGAACAACGATTAGAGCAGAACAACATTAATTCATTTCATTTTGTTAGGTTCTCATTAACTCCTGACAACCCGTAGGTCGAATTTGAACAAAGTTTAGCAAACTTATAGAAGTTAAGTTGGTTCAAAGTTAGTACGAGAATATTTCAGCATAATGTATCAAAAAATCGAATTTGCAAAGATTGAGTAGAATGTTGTAAGTATGCATATATAATGTAACCTCCAAGCTAAGTCAGTTCGGAATAGGGTATAACTATTAAGGTTAGTTTAAATGTATGCTATCACCCAGTCGAAACTAAGACAAAGTAACTGAGTAAATGACGTTTCTAAATTTATTGTAAATTTAGACGTACGTTATTATATATATATATAACCTTAAAAGCTTAATTCAAATCAACTTGATGTCTTGTATCCACCAAGTGAGTGAGAATAGAACTCTTAATCACTCTTGTTTTTCGTTTGTTCAACCAAGATGGATGGTGTTCTGCTGTGCGATGACGGACTTGATAAATTGTACATCCTATATAATTAGCACCACAGAAACAGTTGAGTTAGTAGTGGCGAATTCAGACAGTCTGTTTTTATTGAAGGTTCATAGTATCGGGAGTTCGTATAAAACTGCGCTCAGTTTGGCTGCAGTAAATGTCTTGTGCATCGTCTTTCTTAACCTTCAAGTTATAATTTTCTCGATGGCATATTTAGGGATTGTAATTTAAAGAACGATATTAGGAACGGTAACCCTATGGCTGCACCATCCAGCTGTCAATGGTATTCATTGTTGTATTGGAATTTGATATTCATCGTACATCTGAGCATCAACTGTCTCAATACGAATACGGGAAATAAGGTTTTTCTACGGCTCATATTTTCTTTTTCCATTACTGTGATCAATGTTATTGAATCTCCTATTGGATCATATATACATGCTTACAACATTCTACTCAATCTTTGCAAATTCGATTTTTTGATACATTATGCTGAAATATTCTCGTACTAACTTTGAACCAACTTAACTTCTATAAGTTTGCTAAACTTTGTTCAGGAGTTAATGAGAACCTAACAAAATGAAATGAATTAATGTTGTTCTGCTCTAATCGTTGTTCTATCTCGATTCAAGAACAAAATTCATAGACGGATTTATCTGGAATAAAGCTCAAACGAGATAGTTTAGACAGAATTTACTAATTTCGTATTCTCCAAAATAAATTTTACTCATAGTTATGTTTCCAGTTGGGTAGTACGGTCATAGTTCGTATCATTATTTTTCACAAATTTAGTTCAAAATTTGGAAACAGTGTGTTTACTTAACTTATAATTACTATGTCAGTTTAAGCTAATGATTCTAATGATACTAACTCCCAGTAGATTTCTTAATTTTCCAAATATGTTTTAAGTTAAGCAACTTTTGATTGATTTATCTAAAGCCACGAATCTGCTTCATTTTCTTCATTTACTGATTTGTATTCAGAAAGGTGACTGAACTACTGAGGTCAACGTAAGAGGAGAATCAGTAAAGCGAAACTGCAAGTTGTAACATATATTAAATCATCAATTCATCAAATATGAATTGGAATAAAATACCTCATAGGACTTTATTTGAATCAACTTAATGAACGAGGAAAGATACATTGAGGCTTGATTATAACGTCACGGATTAATCAATAAACACTGATTTACGCTTGAACAGCCAATGAATAAAAGTCCCACATGCATGGTCGTACATCCATACTAATTATCCCGTACATCAGACAACAAAATAATCTCTTTTTCCGTTTTAAATAAGTAATGTTTTAACATGTCGGTTGTAACTGAGCTAAATAGAAATTCAACCAATTAATAGCTTGGTTTATATAAAAAAACTCTTAGGTTTTACTGACACAAACCAACATCAGTAGTAAGGCGTCTAGGTATTTTATTGAAGTAAACTCGACTACATTCTCACCAAATACTGACAATCTAATGATGTTAATAGAGATATAAAGAAGGCATGAAAAACAATGGAAGTTATTTTTGGGGATATTATTTCACTTAATTTAAAGTTTGCAAAATACCAACATTTAATTTTGTCCCTAGATTTTTCCATAAACCATAAGTTTCGCTTGAGCAGAATTCACCGTCATACCATTTCCTATTCCAGAGCTATTGTAATTTAAACGTAACCTACGGCAATTTATATTTCTACTCTAATGTTCAGTTTGCACATAAATGTATTTTCATAATTGTTTGTTTGTTGTAGTCGTGTTATCTATATATTTATGCATTTTTATACTCATCTGAACCAAGATTCAGGAATAAATAGAGAAGCGCTTCAGGTTGAATCGTCTTCTCTCTCGCTCTGTCACTTGTCAATCAATCAGGTGATCGAATAGTTTTCGTCTCTGCCTAAGGCCATTGGTTTCAATTCGAACTCACGCATTATTGGCCTCATAGGTGAACCAGTTAGCTTATCGTGTCAAGGCCTTGACTTAGATCGAAACAAGTTATCTTCAGTATATTATTAGGTAGATAAATCGGGGATGTAACAACTAACCATCACTTCCCAGTTTAATTAGTACTCCTAATTACAAACCACATACTTTAGTCCGATTATTATACATTAATGTTTATTTATGATGTGCTTATTCTGTAATACCATCCATCCTACTGCTACTTCAGGCAGTCTAGTCAAAATTATCACCTATACTCTCATTTTAAAAATATAGTTTTACAGTTTGTTTCCTTTTGATAGGTAGCGATAAGCCTAGATAATTTATCACTATGATAATTAGATAAATTTGTATATCCTAAGCGAATTTTAGATTCAAGAATTTTATTTCTATGTACGTTGATCTTCCGAAAATTGGGGATATGATAAAATCACATTACATTGCTAACAATGCTTAGAATAATGTTTCTCATAGATGAATAAAATTATGTCAACTTACATGATTAATAAGCACATGTTCACCGACTATATTTTTAGGTAGATTACGTAAAGATTCCATTAATTTATCCATTGAATTCAATCTTCTTCTTGAATTCGAATCTCCCAGTAAAAGTTGAAATATAGAAAGTGCTATACGAAATAAAACCTTTACACCTAGAATGAGAGTGAACAAAGAAAATTGTGTACAACTTCATACCCTTTGATAATACAAGATTTGAATTTTTAATGCTATTTAACTGTTGATCATTATTTGTCCTGTTACAGTTTACGTTTTAAAAATATTCGATATTTATCGATAACCGCTTTATCCAAAAAAATTATGGAGAACGGTTATTTGGAATAGTTGGATAATCTAGATGGCAGATATTGTCATGCTTGTATTAACTGTCTGTCGTTGTTTTCACGTAAATGTTATACTCTAAACCAAGAGCAGTCATGTAACACAATTTGTTATTGTTCATAAGTTAGAAAGACGTAAACGTATTCTTGCTTGACAGTTTTATGATATTAAAATGTGCAACTACATATATTGATCAAATTCATATTTGTGAATGATATGGATAAAACCCTAAGCATACTAAATTTTTAGTTGAAACAAACTAGGAACGAATGACGTATAAAGTACAACCATTATATCACACTTGTTTGTCAAGCTTGCAATATCGAATCACAAAAACACTGTTTTTAAAAGCTATTCTGATAAAAGTAAGTATCCGAGACCACTTTTCAGAACATTACGTCGAAACCACATCCACCCAAATTATTGTTCTTTGAAACGTCTTACACTGAAGTATATCAATGAAATTAAGACAGGAATACCATAAATGTAACGAAATATTTCATTACGAACACATAAATCATATGATTCATCGGAAGATAAACTTGGTATATTCAAAGATGACAGTGATACAGTTGTTAGGAATCGCACAGAAGACCTGAACCTGAAGCTAATGAAAGCTTAAGAGAGATGGAGATCCATATTTCTTTACCGGAAACACAAAAGAAATTTGAATCCAATTACTCCAGAATAATATTACCGACTATTCAGCTATAGACAATATCACTTAGTCTTAAACTTTGTATTACATCAACTAATGTTAATGAACCGAATGCTAACATCCAATTTGAAAGTTTCATTCGTAAGATAAATGACCTCACCCCTGTATGTGATATGGATTATGAACAATCCAAAACAACTCTTGTAGACTATTATTACCGAGTTCTATTTAAGTAATTTCCAAGATTAATATTCATCCTTCCTATACCTGAGTCATATCTCTGATGTAAATAACATGATCATAACCTACATTCCATCGACAGAATAATCAATGAAATCACGTGAATGACAAATCTTACCTGTGCATAGAATAACGTGGACAAAAGGTTAGTCAACACAAGGTTGATTACTTTTGTTTAGACAATCCCCAGTTAATTTAAGTAGCTTATTGTGTCAGTGAATGGAAATAAACAGATTCAATGGAGAAGACATTTTTTCTATAAAATCATTTACCTAAGCTTTACGTTAGTATTTATAATAGTTTGGTAAATATATGAGTCTATAAAAAGCTAGAAGAGATAGTATCATAAAGTGGATTGAGATTTTAAATATCAAAAGAGGTTTGGGTTGTGATCGAGAGTTGAAAAAAGAATAGGTTGATAAGAATAGTTTATGACCCAGAAATATGGGGGAGAACTGTCCAGTTAACAGATATGAAGGATATTTTATTCACCAAAAGATTTTTATCATATCACAAATATTTTTTTCAATAAATTCTCTCCTGATTTTAAATTATATTTCCGAATTATTGATCGAAAAAGTGACCAGGTTCAGGGTAAATGCATCATTTAAAATCACAACGTTTGAATCCAGGATTGTTTATAAAATAAAATGAAATTGTCAATGTTTAAATGACTAATATGAAAATCAATATTGGATATATTTGTGTTTTATTACTATGAGAATCTTCCAGCTGTTAAAATGTCCCTCATATCTGTTAATTCGATAATCATCTCCCATATTTCTAACCAAATTTTATTAGAATTACAACTAGGTGATGATTATGATCAGAATGGGGTTTGTGGAGATTGTTGTGATTTTAATAGTTGAATTCAAGAGTCAATGTAAGCTAGACCACCGTTGAAAATCTGAATACACTAGACGGGCATTTCGTCCCATTTCAAGTCCTGCATGCGGGATCGTGGACGCGCACAGCTGAGGAGTCCCAGACTAGGAAGAAACGATCGTCCAATGTTTCCAGATTATTTTTATATCTACTGGCACTTAATATAACCTCTTGTGCTTATTCTGCGCTTTTATTAAAATAATCATTTATGTCAGTTGCCATAAAAAGCTTATTACACTCAACTGGTATTAAATAAACTAATTTTATAATTCTGTCCTCTAAACAATTTCTTCTGTCGTGGAGAAATTGTAACTGAATATATTTATCCTTAGATAGATATATTCTTGAATTAAGCAGTCAAAAAACATTCCGTCTGTATTGACCAAGTTTTCGTTAGTTATTTGGTCTTCCCCCTGAGTGGGTGGTAACTTAATGATGTCATTGTTAATTTTGTAATCGTATTCTTAACTGAAGTATTCAACAGTCAAAAATCAAAGTTTAACTATGGCAAAATTATTATATTACAAGGTAGGCTGACTGCCCAGTGGGATGATACTTAATAGATTATTCTATAAGAGTTATAAAAAAATTGTATTGTAATTTTTATATAAAGCAGCTTAGTATGAGTTAGGTAATTTGTCCATCTGTGATGATTACTGAAAACCCCACATCCTATATTCATTACTTCATTTTTAAACGTTTAACACTATACGTATTGCTTAGCGGTAAGTAATTAAGCTTTTTAAGTCACTGTACATCAATATAGCCATTATAGACAAACTTTCTGATTTCCTATACATTCGTCCTTTGGTAATATTGGTACATCTGATAGTCGTCAGTATAATACTGTACCTTACGCTGAGCCCAAGTTATGGTTAAAACAATTACCATCGCAATACACTGACGTAACAAAATGTGAGGTATTCACAGAACATCGTAGTTAATAAGTTAATCAAATAATATTTTAATAGAAATCAGAGATCTTCAATATAAAGTTACGTTTAATAAAATTTTAAGTGATTGGTCCTTTCTTTAACGTAATGACTTGGCAGATACTTTGAATGTAGGGAAACAGTCTACACATACCTTCGAAGAAAAACATATCCAATATACGGAGGACTGTAGACCATGGCAAATTGCGTGTATACAAACACATGAACCAGTCAATAGCAAAATATATTGGCTCTGTATTACATTTCACCTATTTTTAAGAAATAAATAAGACCATTGAGACAATTCACACATAATATCTTTTAAGATAACAATAAGTTCATTCAATAAAAGTACGATTTTTCTGAATGTTCTTTTTTATCCTATTCAAGTCTATTATAATAAAACAGTCGTGCTTCATCTTCTTATGCTTTGTAGGGTTGTAGTTGCTTAGCTTCGTTAATCAATCACCTTGATAATCGTTATTATATAACTCCCAGCGGTGTTTAAAATCAGAAGGCAATAAGAAGCAGCTACTACAGTTTATTAGCGGAGTTTTGTTCTCTGAGCTGGATGGTTTGGTCGTGGAGCTTTCATCGTTCTTCTGAACGACATCATCAGCACAGACTTCAAATTGGAAGTTTGTGCTGATGATGTCGTTCAGAAGAACGATGAAAGCTCCACGATCAAACCATCCAGCTCAGAGAACAAAACTCCACCAAAATCATCCACCTGAGCTACAAATCTTCTCCACCATCTCAAAATCATATGAGCGTAATACGCTTCTCGTTGTTCGAAAATGGGAGAATTTCGCCAAAAGGCAGGCTTCCACTCGAGAACAACTATATTTTCTCCATGAGTGTCTTCGCCAGCATGTTCTACCAACAAGTGTAAGATATAGACCCCCAATCAACTGCCCATTAGGATGGAGAATAGCTGAGCAAAGTGGAAGAAAAATGGTACACCTCATGATAATGGATGCACACTACAGGATCAGCAAATACCAACACGTCATAGAGGAACAAAAGACAAAGCTACAAAGGATGCTCATATCAGAACATTTGGAAATCGTGACAACAGCCATCGAGATATCATGCAAACGACACAGAGAACAAAGAAGAAACACCTTAAAGAAAAAACTAATCAAGATCTCAAAACCATCCGTGGAAGAAAACACAGACAACTGCGTGATCAATCTATCAAAACAACCACTAACAAATATGGAAGAACATCTGCTCCAAAAGGGATTAAACTACAATACAAGCGACGCCTCAAAGCTGAAGTTCTTCGCAGCACTAGAGTCATCACTCAAAACTTCTGGAATCAGTGAAGAAACACAACAGGAAATAAGGCAAACAATAGTACCGATAACTCAACAGGTGAAAGAAAACAACCAACTGACTCCACAAGAACGAAAGGCCTTGAAAGAACTCAGAAATAGAAAATATATTGTCATAAGACTTCTATTTGAAGTTTGTGCTGATGATGTCGTTCAGAAGAACGATGAAAGCTCCACGACCAAACCATCCAGCTCAGAGAACAAAACTCCACAAAAATCATCCACCTGAGCTACAAATCTTCTCCACCATCTCACAGTTTATTAGCGGACAGCACAGATAACAAAGTTATAGTTACGTCGAGTGAATTTGGAGCAGATAGGCTAATGTGTGTGAGCGAGCGAATACAGAGGCGAATTAATTGTCAAATCGAATGAGGCGCAGCTAGGCAAGGTAAAGACTAAGTGAAGCAAGGCAATTAATAGGATTTGAGCATGTATGCACATAAGAAAGAGAATGATTCATCGAGCGATATTTAAGCGACTAGCATTTAAGCTAAAAAGTGATACGTGAATAGGCTGTCACATGTGATCAAGCGTACACATTTATACAGACAAGATAATGATCACAATAGTACAAAGAAATAGACGAATTGTTACTGTCCAAATAACATTGTCTGTTAAATAAGTTAATAAAAACGGCTTAACAAAATTAACCATAGTCGAAATCGATTGTAGGACAGTTGCTATAGAGTTAATTTGAATCAAATTTGTTTTAATTTTACCAGAAATTTGAATTATTTTAAATACGTATGGAAATTGATGTAACATCCATCTAACATTTCACCTTTTAGAAGTTTAGGTGAACAGGTATTTATTTACACTAATAACTGATACATTTGGCATTAAAAACAAACAACTCAGTGTTATTGTGTTAATGATTTACTCATTTAGTTTCCTGATAAATTTCTAATTTCAATAGTTGACATCATGAGTCAATTGAAGCTAGGCCACAATAGAAAACCTGGAAGCACTGGACGGCCATTTCGTCCTATTGTGGAACTCCTCAGCAGTGCGCATGAACAACCCCGCCTCGCGGGATACGAACCCAGGATCTATCAGTCTCGCTCGCGAGCGATTAACCACTAGACCACTGAGTTGGCATCGAACGGTGTTAATGTCTAACTTCAACTAATCCAGGTTTTCCATGGTGGTCTAGCTTCAATTGGCTCATGATCTCAACTAATGAAATTACTACAATCTCCACACACACCCATCAAATTTATAATTGTCATTAAAAATAACAGTTAAGAGAGTAACTCAACAATTAAGGAAATTAATATAATCTTCATCTTCTTATTACACAGTCGAGATATTGAGGAAGATTATTTTAATATTTAGATGACTAAAGAAGCAATAATTAGAATGTTCAAATTTCTTACTAAATAGTTAATCAATAAAAATAGCTGTCTATGATTAATCAAACGAAATGTGATTTGAAATAGGAAGAAGCAGTCAATTGTATATCACTCCACTTTATTGAATTAATTATTAGGAAAATCTAAACTGTATTGAAATTCAAGATAATCATAGTGGTTGTATAGGGTTTTTCTAATTATAAAATATTATTAAAATGTGAAAGATCCTAATGGATTCATATGTATGAAAGTTATATACTAAATTAAATAACATACAGTCATTGAGTCTGAATGCTTTATTTTGACCAATTGGATTTTTAATGTTCACAAATGGAGCAGTCATACATCTCTCTATTGAACCTAATGAGTCTTTACCTAAGAGTGATGGTTAGTGCTGAGATATATGATGAAAAACTAGTGTAATAGTGCATAAGACGCAATTACTATACGGAAATACAAAGTCAAGCTAAGGAAATTTGTCTTGATGAGACTATAGTTTATGGAAGACCTTTAAGCGACGCTAAAGTGACCTTGAGAGTGTTCATCTAATAACTAGGACCAAATGAGGGTTATAAACCTCTGTGAGGAATTAAAACTCTGATTTACAGTTGATGATTAAGGTTAGAAATTAGAAATGGAATTTTCATCATTAACTGACATCAGCTATAATGCCAAAACTCTATTTATCCGAATGAGTGAATTTCGTGCCAAAATCCGAAACCTGTTAATTTATACCTAATTGGTTCGTTCATAGATTATAGTCTCGCCTTTGTCTTTATTCATATCAAAATAAGTGGAAATCATTGTGTGAAATAAATGTTCTTTCTTACATACTGTTTCTGGTGGAACTACAAATCTTCTCTACATATTGTTTCATTACGCAGCTGCTGATGCTACCTTTAAATCTAAGTTTTTTCAACCATTTACATAGTTGATTACAAATTTTGTTCTATATAAATTCTTGAAAATGAATATACGTACTGTTCCACTCGTTTTTAATATTAATTTCAGAAAGCAGATCTAACTCTATACGCTAACTGTACAGAACTGTCTACGCAACCAACTTAGATTTTTCTCAATAATTAAATGTAAGATTGAAGACATTTTAATGTGATCAAAAACATGATGAAAATATAATATTCCAGAGGTCTAGTAAACGTTTCGGAACATTCCTAGTAACTATAGAAATCTGTGTGTAATAGAAAGATATGCAAATGATTTCTTTTCAGGTTCAATAAGTTCGTTTCTATATGATGAAGGAGGAAGTTTTATAAACCTTAAAGAGGTACCTGATTATATAATCTATGTAGTAACCATATTTAGTAAGATTTAAACATGATACGTTAAAACTCCCTAATTCAAAGTTTACAGCCTATTAACAAATTAGGTTGACAATTATTACACGGTGATCCTGATTCCCCACTCCTGGTTGATGAGAAATTTTAGGTTGTGATTAAAAATTTTTGAAATAGGTAATTGGTGGACTTGCTTTTGAAAGTGTATACTCATGTGATAATAAACAAACATTTGTCATCTATAATAATTTGGTTTGTTCGCCTCTAGCTTTCTTCCAGCCTACTCCTACAATAGAAAACATTGCTCATCAAGGAAGGTGATGGTTGAGCATTCCTAACACAAGCCACAACCACCTAAATTGGTGAAGATTTACTTTCTTATCAATCGATTTCCCATCTTTACCTAGTGCTCTATTCCCAACCCAGCCATCACTTACTTGCTGGTCCCGTTACACAAGCAATGCTTCGAAGACACTTACCATCGAATACTAGTAACCTCTGAATATCTCCTATTCTTAGTAGGGATGTTCCGCATCCATAAAGTATGACGCAGGGGATTCCTGCGCGGTAAACTCGCCCTTTGGTGAGGAGACGGATATCTTACCTACACCACAAGCGACGGAAGTTGGCAAAAGCCAACCGAGTCTACTGAATTTGTGCCGAGACTTTGTCAGAAACCAGACCGTCTGTACTGATGAGATCCCCAAGATTAATGAAGTGGTTGATGCGTTCGACTACTCTGTCCATTCATTCAGGTGATGATGCAAGCCAATTCTGAAGTAACATTTTGTGCTTGTAGAGAGAGAATCACTTCCCAAACATGATTTCATTTTGCTTAAAGTGGTTGGAATATTCTGTATTTTATCAGCATCTCCAACAAACGGAACCATATCATCTGCGTATTCCAAGTCAACAAGTGAATCTTTTGGTAGAAGATCCATCCATGAAATGAAAAACGATGGAAGTGTTGTCTCTAAGAGCATGTCTGCGAAAAAGTTGGATAAAAATGGAAAAAGCAGACAACCCTGGCGAACGCCACTTATAATAACCACTTCTAATGATAGTTCGCCATATGCCCTGACTCAACTAGTAATGTTCTCATAGACAGTCTGCACAAGGTTAATGTACTTCTTTGATACTCCTTTCAATGACAGACACCGACGCAAAATTTCGAGATAAACGGAAATGAACGCCGCCTTATGGTCAGGAAATACAACTATAGTCGAACGTTGGGAAGTATGTCTATGTTCCACAGTCTGCAAAAGGGTAAATATTTGGTCTA